TTTTATAATAAGGGGTTGAATGTCTTACATCATTTATTGAATATTGTGCTGAAAGTGAAAAACAGAAGTGTAGTGTCTACTGAATGCTCATTGTTTTTATACCATTCTTAAATTGAAAAAACCAAAAGTCAAACCACCACAAAAAGTTGGAGCTGTCTACATACAGCTTAAAAACTTTTGGCTACCTTTCAGAGTCTAGGTCACTAAGTTTCCTGATGCTTTGTGACACTATTTCTCCCTTACATTATTCTAATTATTGTTGAAAAATGGTTTTATTCACTATAGAAACTCTGCTAACTGTGGTTAATTAGTACTCGACATTTTTGTGTACCTGTCCCTTCTGCAGAGTATGGAAAGTTAAAAAATATACTTTTCAGTGTCCCTTGTAATCGTGATTAGCAATGTAAATTTTGTTTCTTCAATTAGATGTACCAAAAGGCTGAAAACAACTTACCATTAATGGCCATTCTCTATTGTCAAGTCATGGAGATGCCAGAGTCAGCCTTGTAGAAGTTGAGAGACCCCGAGGGTGGTCACAAGTCCTGGCAGACCAGAGTCCAGTCTCTACTGTCTTGGATGTTAATGGCATTTTAACTGTGACCAGACTCTGCTTCCAGGGTAGAAGCTTCTCTCAGGTAGAGGGCCTGATTCAGGCTTCCTGATCCCTGCATCACAGCCAAGTTAAGGTATTCTTGCATTCAATGGTTGCAGTTTAAACTCCTGATTCTCAGTCTTCCTCTCTGTGTTAGAAAGTATTAGTTCACCTGGCAAATGAGTACCACAGTGTTCTGTCAGTCATTCTAGAAAGGCCATCAGAGAGTTCACTGCTACAATATTTGCTGCCGTTTTGTAAGAATTTTTATAAAAACCAACAGTTTCCTAAATCCCTGTCTGCACAAAAATACTTAGAGACATTTTTACTTCCTTTATTAAAACATGACCCATAGTCTGATTTAATTCTGGTGATAAGCAGAGTATCAGTTGGAATTAAACGGTATAAAATTGTTGGAGAGCCCTCAAATCATGAATGTTTCATTATTCAATTTAGTATAATACATCGATTTATTATTGGTTTATATTGAGAAATATAGACAAACTTAGTAGTCAGTTCCCAATTTCAAAATTTATGAGATAATTCCTGGGAAAAAAGAAGTGACTTGCAGTCATTATTAACAGTCCACACTCTTGTGTTTAATGTCCCTATCCATTATACCGAAAGTGAAGTAATTTATTTCCAAAAGCACTTTATTAATAGAAAAAGGAAAAAGAGATTCATTTATGCAACTACACTCAGAATGAAATTGTCAGAATTATTCTATTAGAAGAAACAAGATACCTTCTTAAATACATAAATATATCCCTTTTTATGGCTAAAGTATTTGATGTCATTTGATTTATGGCATAACAATTGAACAACCTAGAAATGCAAAATGGAGTCTTTTAAGATTTTGTAGTAAATACTCAGAAAGTTCTTAGCTTATCTGCTATATTTTATTGCTACATAACAAAAAATAATGAAAGAACAGGAGTTTGTGGCTCTCAAAAGTTAAGTTTAGAATTCTCTTGTGTTAGTCCATTCTAACACTGTTAATAAAGACATACCTGAGGTTGGGTCATTCATAGAGGAAAGAAGTTTAATTGACTCACAGTTCAACACGGCTGGGAAGGCCTCAGGAAACTTACAGTAACAGCAGAAGGGGAAGAAAACATGGCCTTCTTCACATGGCAGCAGCAAGGAGAAGCGCCAAGCAAAAGAGGGCAAAGCCCCTTATAAAACCGCACGCGGTGGCTCAAGCCTGTAATCCCAGCACTTTGGGAGGCCGAGGCGGGTGGATCACGAGGTCAAGAGATCGAGACCATCCTGGTCAACATGGTGAAACCCCGTCTCTACTAAAAATACAAAAAAGTAGCTGGGCATGGTGGCGTGTGTCTGTAATCCCAGCTACTCAGGAGGCTGAGGCAGGAGAATTGCCTGAACCCAGGGTGGAGGTTGCGGTGAGCCGAGATCACGCCATTGCACTCCAGCCTGGGTAACAAGAGCGAAACTCCGTCTCAAAAAAAAAAAAAAAAAAAAAAAAAAACGATTTCATGAGAACTCCCTCACTATTATGAGAACAGCAGCATGGGAGAAACTGCCCCCATGATTCTTTTACCTCCCACCAGGTCCCTTCCACAATGCAACATGTAGGGATCATGGGAACTACAATTCAAGATGTGATTTGGGTGGGGACACAGCCAAACCACATCATCAATGGTATTTGTAAACATGAAATATTTAGATATTTTTCAGGCCAGAAGAGCAGGTCCAGCACAGTGGCTGGCATATACCAGGAGATCAATCATTATATGTCCAATGAATAAATGAATGACTTGAGAGATTCTAAACAATAACAACAAAATAGGTGATATGGAAGATCACCATGGATGAGGTTGGACACACAAGTTTAAACAAAGCAGTTATTAAGCAGCCATTATGAAGAAAAGAATCAAACATTGCTCTAAAACCAGTTAAACTGGCTTTGGTTCCTAAATATGTGTTTTGTTTAATATATTACATGTCCAAATCATGGAAAAAATCCCAGCCTTGACATTTTCTCATCTGTAAAATAGGGATAACAAAGCTTCCTTTGCATAGTGCATGACCAAGGCTTACATGATGGGGGCTCAAGAAATTATAATTACAGATATTGCACGGCATTTTTTTTGAATAGAAAAAAAAATGTTGAAACCAAGAAAATTTAAATATCATCCTTTGCTTTCTAAGAAAGAGTAAAGCAATGTGTTTCTAGAAGGCCTGCTGAGCACTTCAGTGCTTTATAACCTGTCTTGGTATTTCCTCCGCTTCTGTGAACATCCTTCACTCCCATTATACCTTTTGAGAGAAGATTAAATTCAGTATTGATATGAATCCTTTCTACAGTTTAATTCTCTGATATGTGGGTTTTTCCTCCCACTGATGGAAAAAGAAGTATTAATACAAGTGAAACCACGTTTGCTTTAAATTCAGTTTTACAAGAATTTTTTTTCACATTTGAAAACTGTGCTAATGAAACTTAAATTACAAATGTATACCTTGTATGTACATAAACGTTCATGCCAAATGTGTTCCTACACATGTATTCTACTGTATGTTCTTGATGTCAGCTGCGTCAGAGCAAACATGGGTTCACCCATGTCCCTCAAGGACAATGAAAAAGAACCAAGTGTGTCAGGTGTGTGATCACAAGCAGAGCTGAGAAAGAGGAGGAGACGAAGTAGTTTGGCTAATTCTCAACATGATTTTGAAACTCCAGAAGAGAGTTTAAAACTATAGAAATATCTCTGAAATGCTATGCAAAAATTTAAAGACTCATCTTTTTTTTATTATTACATTTTAGGTTTTGGGGTACATGTGAAGGACATGCAAGATTGTTGCATAGGTACACACATGGCAGTGTGATTTGCTGCCTTCCTACCCATCACCTACATCTGGTATTTCCAAGACTCATCTTAATTTATTAATCCTATAAATTCACACAAAAATTACACCAGCTTCTGAAAGAAAGTGTCTATTTACCATCACATCATCCAATGAATAGCATAGCAATAATAAAAGAAGCAAACGTAGTTTAATGTTTGGAGTTCAATTCAAATGATCTCATTAAAGCAGAAATACCTAGTGCTTGAGAAGCACAGAAGACTAGTGAAAAGTTAATTAACTCATTTTGTTTTCAAAATTCATTTATTAAAAATGAATTACATCTGCAAGTTATGTTTGCCAATTCTTACAGCAACACACTTCCAAGGACATCAGGGTTTTTCCCGAATCTAAACTTTAAAAATATCACGACCTCTTTAATGCCACCTTGAAGAAATTTTGCTTCTAGCGTAAGCACTTGTAACACAGGACACAGTAACAAGTGAAAGAAGTAATAAAATTTAATTTGCACCCATGATGCTAAGTGGGCTTTTTAAAGAACAATTTAAAAGCAATAAGTAACTATTCTTAAACATTTTCTTGATACGTAACAAATTTGGAAAAAAGGGAAATCATCAACTGACTTGATAATTTCTTTTCACTACTGTGCCTTAGTTGTCTATATAGAACTTTATTACTTTGTAAATATGTAATAAAATTTGAAATGATAGACCCATTTGGCAATGTAGTGAATAATTAGTAAACTCAAGCATACAAATTGTGTCATATTTTGGCAAAGAATTGAAGAAAACAGAAACAATGCAAAAAAAATCATTACTGAGATATTGAAAAGCTAATTCACATAAACAAATATACTTCACCCAAAGTGGCATATTAAAAAAAGTAGAAAAAGGAATATTGGTGCTCAGGAGAAACTCAAGCTAAGCAAGCAAAAAATGGTGAAAATACAAACTAATGCAAACGAGTATTTTCAAAGAGCAGAATTCATGACCTCTAAAGTTTAATGCCCATTTGTGAGCTCAGCCAACCTCAATGAAATGTCAATTACCAGAAGACTAGCATGCGTAATAGTAAACCATAGTATAATGTGGGAACTGGATGACCTGACACAAGATTAAACACTGAAACGGGGTCATAAATAAGAGCATGCTGAATGAATCTTCAGTGAAATGGCCCATACATTGTGTCACTTTGATTATCAGATAAGGCCTAACGTTGTAGGAAAAATGACTCATCTCTTGACTTCAGGGAAATACAGTAAGATATTAATTAACATGCTAGTATTTTCTTTGTTAAAAGTCATAGATTTATTCATTATTTTAAAACTGGGTACCTTTCTTGTTCTCTTACTGAGACAGCAAAGGAAGTTCTGCCTTGTTAAGTTTTAACATGTGAGTAGCCAAGGAATAAAGATACCTTGGATGATATCAGAGAACAGGGGGTGGTTTTGCTTTTAATATTTTGCAGTCCCCTTCCAGTTGTCTTTCTACCTCTTTTCAAGTGGAAGAATTGGTAAAACTCAAGAGAGCCTCTGTGTGTGTGTGTGTGTGTGTGTGTGTGTGTGTGTGTGTGTTTTCCTCTTAGGACTAAATTATAGAAACATCATAAGCATTTTAAATCAAAGATCAGTTTCTTTAGGTATTCATAGTAATATCAATCCTATCTTATATATTAACATTAGCAATCTAAGGTTTTCCCTAGCATGGGGAAACAGAGAAAAAACAATTCACTAGTTAGAAAAAAAATCTTATTCTAAGCTTAACATTTTTGTGATTAAAACATAAAATTATTAAGAGTGACATTTCTGTAATACTAATGGATGTATCATAAATTACAATAGAATGACTTTTTTCAAGAACAATATTTAACATTCATTTTCTTCTTGTACTCTGATGCAACATCACATAGATGCTAATTCTGCATGCAGGTTTTATAGCTGTATTCATTGGGCTATTATAAGCCATGGCCTTTGAAAATCCTGAACTTTATTCTTTTTCTCTGTAAGATAAATAATGAATTTTAGCCCACAGAGATCATCTGGAAATAAATAGAAGATTTTCATACTAAAAATTCCTCTCTTTTCTGTTCCATTCAGTATCTAACATAAGGTTTGAACTTTCTCTTCTGTCTGTAAAGAAACTAGATGATGTTTATCTGCTTGAAAACTTCATAAAATAATGTACAGTATTATAATAATCTAATATGTTCCTTCTCGGTCTGTATGATTTTATTTATATGTATTAACTTCCCCACAAGGATATATTATTAACTCTGCCTCAACATTTATTAGGAAAAGTCATCTAAGTTTCCTTGATCAGATTTAAAACTTCATCAATATGTCTACATATTTTATGCTATTATATGCCAAAGCAGTACTACCAAACTATGAAGACTATACACTTAGAAATTAACATTATATACAATTAACATTAACATATAGATTGTTATAAACATATTATATGTGTGTGTATATATATATATATATATATATATATATATATATATATAGTGTATATGTAGTGAGAAAGCACCTACTTCCTCTCAAAATAACCTAGTTAATCTTTGAAGCTCTTTTGATATGATGCGCTGTGTTATTATAGATGGTATAGGTAGGGATTAGGTTAAGAAAAAAAATCTACTAGAGAGATAAACTTAAGAATTGCTCCCTTCCGTTTTTCTTCCAGTTTAGCCATTACTGAGCCAAAGGTGAAAAAACTGAAAAAATTAAACTACCTCTCTCTAATTCTGCATCCCACCCAACTAGTGGGAGATCGAACTTTTATAGACTTGTAAAAATTTGAGTCATGTATGAAAAAATCTAGATTGTCTATGCTTTCCTTTGCTTAGTTCTAAAGAATTTACATTGTGGCTTATTTATTAAGAGCTCTAAGGGGCGTCACTGTCAGTTCAAGTGCAAAAGAGGATCTCTATCTGCATTTCAATTACCACTATCCTCAAATAACCAATCAAGTAATGTCTCATTATGAAGGGCAAGTGGGTGGGAAGAAAAATTAGTAAATATAACTTATATTTCACATGATGTGCCAGATCTTCCCCTACATACGATTTTTCAAATTGGAGAAAGAATGGAGGAGTTGGGAGATGATTATACTCCTCTGACATTTGGATGAACACAGGAAAACAGCCAGGCCAATCGTCTTTCCTATTTCATTTCCCCAATGGGAAAGATCAGTCAGTATGGTTATCTTATTTGGTGTGTAGTAATTTTATGGGAAGTTTTAATGATTATTTTCATTTATTTAAATGTGTACCACATATTATCTCTTGAGATTCCACAGTACTATGCCCATTAAACTATATAATTTCTCATTTAATAAAAATAAATAAGAAAATAAGATACTACATTTTATTTATCACTTGATCCTTTAATATTTCAAACATTAACATTAACATTGAATCATAATCAGTGCGCTAAAATTAAAGGCAAAAATAGGTATTTTTTTTGCTCTATATTAGAATAATGGTTGAAATATTAAGCTTTTTTATCATTTAATGATTGAAAAGAAAAAAATGAAGAATCACACTTAATGGAAATAAAAAAATTGTAGAAATTGACAATTTTCATGATAGAAATACTGAATACATTTCAGCATGTATTAAAATTATATTAATATGCAATATATAATCAATATGTGGTGAAAGGTTTCTACTGATGCTAATAACTATATCAGCATTTAGTTAACAAACTAACTGTATTCATCTAGTTATATTGAAAGTGATAATTAATTGAGCTCAATCACTGGCTTCTTAAAAAAGATGATATAGGTAGTGTAATGCAGAGGTAGATTTCCTATAACTTAATTAAATTGACCCAAATATGGTTACATTTGTGTTATTGTAATAGTTAATCAATGAGCAGTTAATAATTGCCATTTGTTCACCGTATGGCCAAACTAATTTAGTTATTCCAAGTGACCAAAATAATATAAAGAGCTATTTGTTATTCTGTTAAAACCTTGAGTACAAATTGGAGTAACCATGTAACTAACACTTAAACTTGCAACAAAATATATTTTTATAAGAAAAATATTAAATCTAAATCAATCAAGGTTCTGCTCATACCATCTGAGAGCATAACATTCCATACTTGAGTGCCAAATTTGTTGTCTGTCTGCTCTGGGATTAAGGTACATCCAAATAAAAGCATATGCTCGAAATACACGGAAGTCTACCGATATTCAAAATGCACTCTTCCATAGTTTTAAAAATGAATATGGATTATCTATTAAGAGAACTAAAAGATAGCAGAAGAACTTGAGCATCTATATCTAACTACCAAATGAAGAGCTGTTTGTGTGTGTGTGTGTGTGTGGTTTTTTTTTTTTTTTTTTTTTTTTTTTTTTTTTTTTTTTTTTTTTTTTTTTTTTTTTTTTCTCCCCATGCTCTTCTCTTTAATCATGGTCATGGAAATCAGCATTGAAAGCCATGTGGGTGATTAAGCTGAGAATCACACCCAAAACTTTCACAATCAGTGCACATATATGGTATTTTGGCTTCTTATATTTCTGACCATCTGTCAAAATGGCAAAAGGCCCAATTCAAAGTTGCCAGATCCTAGCAAGTAGTTTTCAGATGGTTATGGGTTTCAAGGGGTATTCTAAATAATAAATAACACTTGTCATTTAAGGATTTCTGGCATTTTAATAAAAAAGAAATTGTATAATACTTCTTCTATGCCAAAGTAAACAGTATAGAGACAAACATTGTATTTCCTACCAAGTGAAGTAAGTAAATGGGGAACATCTTGAAACAACAACTAAAAATATTACTTGTAGGTTTTTGTTTGAATCATTGTCTTCTTTCTTTATTTTTTTAATTAATTTATTTTATTAATATGGAATGCTTCACGAATTTGCATGTCATCCTTGCTCAGGGGCCGTGCTAATCTTCTCTGTATCATTTCAATTTTAGTATATGTGCTGCTGAAGTGAGCACGAAACCTTCTAGTTTGTTTATTTATTTATTTATTTATTTATTTTAAGACGGGTTTTCACCATGTTGGTCAGGCTGGTCTTGAACTCCCGACCTCAGGTGATCCACCCACCTTGGCCTCCAAAGTGCTTGGATTACAGGCGTGAGCCACCACGCCCGGCTATTGTCTTTTTTAAATTGAGATTTGAGTTTAAGTGTTTTCCTATTCAGTAATGGACATGTATTAATTGGCTTAAATTGTACTTATATTAACTGATCTCAACGGGACTTACCGGTAGGATTTGTGGAGGAAGGGCCACTGATCAGGGATAGAGTCCCTATGTGAAACAGAAAGTCTGGTGACCTGAAAACCAAGGAAATCCTTGTATTTTATTTCTCTTTGCCTTTTCTTCTCGGTGCCTTTCACCACCTAACTTAACAGCTTCAACTCTCATTTCAGTCATGTTTAAAATTAAGCAATTGCACTAAATAATTGCTGAAGTCTTTTCAACAATATTGAAAACATTTTAGAATGCATAGGATATTCTCTATTCCTCAATGCCCCAATCACAGATCTTCTCTGTGTACCTTTAAAAATGGGTCCTCCTCTTTCTCAATCAGAATTATTTCCTCATTTGTGTTTCCATAGTACTTTGTACATAAATCTATTAGAAAATCTGGTGCATGATAGTGTAAGTTTATATATGTTGATGATGTCTTTACTAAACATTTTGAGAGCTCCTCAAGAGCAGACACAATTTTCAGATTCCTAATATTTAACACAGTGCCCAGCATACAGTATCTACTGAATAGATAAGTATTACAGCAACACAGATGCAATTATGCAACACGAAAATAATAATAAGTAACTTGAGAAAAATAAACTAAAACCACATGAACACACTATATATAAATTTGCAAATTAACATATATAACATGTACATTTATAATGTATATGTATGTATATACATAATGTATACATTATATATGTATATACATATATACATCATATATGTACATTATATATGTATATACATATATATACTATATATGTATATACATATATATACACTATATATGTACATGTTATACATATGTACGTGTTATATATGTGTATATGTATATACATATATAATATATACATGTATATACACATTATATATATGTGTATATATATACATTTATAATGTGTATATACATGTATATACGTATATAATGTGTATATACGTATATACGTATATAATGTGTATATACGTATATATGTATAGACGTATATAATGTGTATATACGTATATATGTATAGACGTATATAATGTGTATATATGTCTATATGTATAGACGTATATATATGTTCCAAACATATATACATATATAATATATACAAATATAATCTATAATGTATATGTTCTATATGTTTATTTGCAAATTTTGGCACTATGAAGTGAGCATGCTTTGTCCTAATGCACAGGAATAAAATTTGTTCTATAATCTACTTTTAAATTTATGCATCAACAATAGCTTATAAGATTTATCCCTGCCAACATTCAATTTAATTAGGTGAGAATTGTTACATTATTTTAGAAGCTAGAACTGCTTATTGCTATCTTTTAGATGCTTTCTTTGCAAAGATGTTTGTATCCATCTGTCTTCTTTGTAGACTTTGTCAAAACTTGATGGGTTTCTATTTCAGAAGAAGCTTTTGCTACATTCTCATTAGCTGCTATTTACCTCATTCTCTGAACTCTCTCATTTGGTCAGAATCATTGCTTTCGCTTCTCATCTTCTGCATGGCATCTAGACCAGAGTGCTCCTAAGCCCTGTTATCAGACCCAGGTGGCCTCACATGACCTTACCTTCTCACACATAGACATAGATTTACTCTTTGTTGAGCCTTTTCAAGGCAGTTTTGCTCTAGTATCCAGACCTAAAATGACAATAACTTTTAATACTCTGTAACATGGGTAAGAGGAACGAGAGGTAGAGCTGGAATTGGAACCCAGGTCTTGCCTTTTTGATGTCACAGCTTCCTCCTATTAGTTGTTTACCAACTGACCCATTCGATTGTT